GTCAGGGGCCGCGGCAGGGGCCGCGTCAGGGGCCGCGTCAGGGGCCGCGTCAGGGGCGGCGTAGGGGCCGCGGCAGGGGCCGCGTCAGGGGCCTCGTCAGGGGCCGCGGCAGGGGCCACGTCAGGGGCGGCGTCAGGGGCGGCGTAGGGGCCGCGGTAGAGGCGGCGGAGGGGCCGCGTCAGGGGCCGCGCCAGGGGCCTCGTCAGGGGCCGCGGCAGGGGCCGCGTCAGGGGCCGCGCCAGGGGCCTCGTCAGGGGCCGCGGCAGGGGCCGCGTCAGGGGCGGCGTCAGGGGCGGCGTAGGGGCCGCGGTAGTGGCGGCGGAGGGGCCGCGTCAGGGGGCCGCGTCAGGGGCCGCCTCAGGGGCAGCGTCAGGGGCCGCGTCAGGGGCCGCGTAGGGGCCGCGTCAGGGGCCGCGTCAGGGGCTGCGCAGGGGCCGCGTCAGGGGCCGCGTCAGGGGCTGCGCAGGGGCCGCGTCAGGGGCCGCGTAGGGGCCGCGTCGGGGGCCGCGTAGGGGCCGCGTCAGGGGCGACGTAGGGGCCGGGTAGGGGCCGCGTAGGGGCCGCGTGGGGGCCGCGTAGGGGTCGCGTAGGGGCCGCTAGGGGGGGGGGGGGGGGGGGGGGCCGCTAAAAAAAAAAAAATTTAGGGCAGGGGCGCAATGCGCGTCGGGCAGCTAAAAAAAAATTTCGTTATGGTGGGCCCTTAGGAAGGAACGGTCCCATGTAGGAACCCGCTCTATACCATGTGAAACAAGAAAACAGGAATGAAATGACTAAGTGAAAGTTGAGTACAAAAGGCAAACCCTAGAAAACTGTACCCCATATATGCTACCCCACTATAGCCTACAGTAGCTATGTCATATAAATCTGACATGTGCAACAGCGTTGCGTGGTCCATCGCGAAGGGCCAGTAGAGTGGGCCGAGTTGAGACTGTGCGAGTAGTGCTCGCATCTTTTCTTGCAAGGTACGATTGAGGCGTTCAGCGACACCGCTCTGCTGGTGAGCATGAGGAAGTGAGAACAGGCGCCGTATGCCTCGTTCTTGCAGGTACGCTGTAAACTCGAGGCTGCGATATTCTCTAGCTCCGTCACACTGGAAGCTTTTGAGTTTGGTGTCAGACTCACGTTCTGCGAGAGGTAGCCATGTCTGAAACGCTGTGAAGGCAAGAAAACGATTAGTCATGTTACCAGTCCAGACGTATCGAGTAGAAGCTTCAGTGAACGTGATAACATATTTCTCGCCGTTGAAACCCTCCGCAGGTAAGTTTAGAATATCGCTGTAAACTTTTTCCATCAATCGATAATCCTCAGCGCCAGGAAAATGAGTCGGGTACGGTTCGTGCGGTAGATTTGCTGCTGGGAAGATCAAGCAGGGTGATGGACGATTAACCGGTTTCATTTCGAGGCCGCCAGGTAAGAGAAGGGAATTCTTGTCAAGAACAGCTGCTTTGATTGTGTTGTTGAGTGTAGACTACGACGGATGACCAAGACGCTTATGCCAGATGTCTGCAGTTGCTTTGTGTCCTTGTGCACGCAGATACTAGTCGGCGTTAGCGAAGAAAGACAACAGCAACCGATGTCCGTCAGCGTGAACATGATCTGTGACAGGCGGAATAAACCTGGTAAGATTAGGTGGCGGAATTTTGATTTCAACGTCGACGGATTCGCCTGGTGAAATAACTAATTCCCCGCTCTCTTGATCTGATGCTGCAGGTTTAGGTTCAACACCGACAAGTCGTCCGGAGTCGATAACTTCCATGTCAGCGACACGCTGCTCTGCTTCTGTGAGAAGACGTTGATCACGTTCAGCAGGTGTTTCTCCCCAAGTAGTCTCGTCAGGTTCCTGTGCCCCCCAAGTGCCTTCACCCGTGGGCATATTCGTCGTATCTCCCAAGCCAGCAACGTGAGCAAGATAATCTCGGGAGTTCTGGACGTCGTTTAAGCCTTGGTTATCGAAGGTCAGCATGACATGTGGTTTACAACTCCATCACGAGGAATGGTATCATCGGTGTAATCGATGTCGTCACGATGTTCCCATGGGCCAAGAGAGAGAATATTCTCGGAGTCGGCAGTGGTGCGTTCAGGTACGAAGTTGAGAACAAATACACCGTTCTGCTCAATCGCCGTGCCGAGTTTCTTGTCTCCATACTTTAAAGTAAACTTGCCCGGTTCACCAAGAAGAGTAATGCCATTCCTCATGAGCTGTGCTGATGACATCAGATTAAATCCAAGTCGAGGAACGAGGAGTACATCGTTAAGATGAAGACTGAAGTCTTCTTCAACAGAATCAAGAATGATGTTACCCATCCAGTGTGCTGTAAGACGTTGGTTGTTGGCGACGGTTACAACGCACGGATTCTGAAGACGACGCTGATTGATGACGAAGCGATTTTCTGATGAACACATATGTTGCCCGCAACAACTGTCAAGATACCAAGTGTTGGGACCTTCCAAGGTATGTGCAAGGTTGGCGTAGACCTCGGGTGGTATGGGCGTGTTGAGTTCATCATTGAAGTTATTGTGAATACGTTCCTCAGCATCAGGATCGTAGACTGTAGAAACTGACGTCATACAATTAATAACTTCTTTCGCTTGTGTCTTGACAGGTGTAGTAGGCGGCTTCGCGGAGTTCGGCTTCGCAGTATTCTGCTTCACAGCTTCCTGCTTCTCAGCTGCCTGCTTCTCAGCTTCCTGCTTCTCAGCTTCACCTGAAGAATCTTTGGGATGTTTCGGTGTAGTCCGCTTCCAAGATGGTTTATCTTTCGACCAGCAGGTATCAATAGTATGTCCTGCTTTGCGACAAAAGGAACAAACGGGTTTGTGACGTGGATTAGAATAAAAACTAATTGTGTTGTTTACCACCTTTTTCCCTCCTCGAGCGTTGTGCAGGTCCATATCCTGCTGCTCGGCGATGAGAGCGGCACAGAGTGCCCCCTCGGACAACTGTGCTTGCATCCGAAGAATAGAGCGACACTGTCGCCATTCTGGTCCAAGGCCCGCGAGTAGCACCGTGTGAAACATAGCGTCGGGGAAGTACCCTCCACACTTCTGAAGTTGATCACGCAGATTTCGAGCGCGGTTGATATACTGCGTCACCTTCTCGCCGTTTATCATCTGTATGTTTGACAGCTGCGTCAAAATTTTACTCTGGTTGACAGTGTCCTTTGCCATGTGAACCCCTTGCAGGTATAACCAAGCTGCTTCAGCAGGAGCGGCACTGGTACGAAAAGGACGAATGCCAAGCTGTTCAGTTGGTGTCAGATTGCGAACGAGAACTGTGTATGCAGTCAGCGACGCCGATCGAAAAGTGGCCTGTTGAAGTGGTGACCCGTGAGATGGGAAGGGTGCTGTGCCGTCGAACAACTGCCAGAACCCCGCGGTCTGAACAAGAAGCTCAAATTCAAAACTCCAGGTATAGAAATCTTGACCGTTAAAAGGCACAGTCGTTTTAATTTTTGTTGGGTTTGCAGAAGCGGGAAGATAGTTTCCGGTACCGTCAGCTGATTGCAGCTGATAAAGTGATGGCATCTGTGACCCTTGTGGTGCTTGTTGTCCTTGTCCAGCAGGAACGAAAGAAAAGGAGTTATTCGACCCGTCGCTTCCCTGTGGCATCTGTCCATGCTGATAACTGGAACCATCAAGGCTCATAGGAGTTGGAAACATTTGGTTAAGTGACAAGACGGCAGCATTGACACGCTGTTGAAGATTCGTTGGCTGGTAAGCACCTTGATATTGATAAGGTCCAGTTGGTACGAAACTGGACTGTTGTCCTGGTTGACTAGAAGAACCAGTGACTGCAGTTGTAGCTGTTGTGGCTGCTGATGCTGCGGCTGCTGTCGATGATGACGCTGCTGCAGTTGTGTGTACAGGCTGACTGCTCAGTGGCATGCCGTACATCGGTTGTTGCTGATATTGTTGTTGTTGTTGTTGCTGCTGCAGATGTGAATTATCAGCAGCTGGAGACGCTGTTGGGCGTGATGGGCTCGTAACCGAAGAGCCGTTGTTGGACCGTGGAGATCCAGACATAGTTGTAGAGTATGTATTTGGAAGCTTGTAGTATCTTAAGACGCTCGCAATACCATGTTAGAATTTGAAGTGACTGAATAGGATCGTAACACTTAGGATGGTAGCTTCCTGTCGTAGCGGAAGTCTTATATGAGTTAAAGCCTGTTATGAAAGCTTTGTCTGGACTTAATAAAAGCCCATGTAGTGATATGTTTCAGGATCGATGTCTCTGAAATCAGATATATTATAAATTGACAAACATAAAAAAATATATAGCTAGAGTAAAGTACCTGTTCGCCTACTGTACTGTGCTTTTCTTGTTCTGAAACGGTACGTAACTTTTCGCGAGGTCTATGACTACGTGCTGACGTCATCCTATGGCGCGTAGCGCTTTGCTGACGTCAGCCTATCGGTACTTTACTGTACTACACGAATTTCCTTGAAGTGCTTAAGTCTCGATATTATGTCAACACCCCAAGGGGTGTATTGAGGGGGTCTGAGCTAAGCAATCTCATTTTCTCAACCTCCCACTCCAACTAAACAATTGGAAATGGGATTATTTGGCTAAGTCATTTTGGCTCTCTCACAAGCTTCCCTACACTACTATTCCAAGTGTTTTCCATCAAAGGCATCAAGAAGATCTTCATCTCCAAGGCTATTAAGGCTAGTTAGAGCTACTATTTTGTATTGGAATATTATAAAAGCCTGGTAACCGCCATTATAATAGTCTTGGCATTACACTCGACGTCCCATTGTCCGGAATTTCCCACACTTGGCAGAAGCACTGTTATGATGTGACCGCCAGAAACCCGTTCGCCAGCCTCTGTCGAGGCGATTGGAAACGGCACGGGCTGTCCCAACAGATCCGGCGAAATCATACATTCGAGCAACCATTCAGCAATATTACAACGGCCGTTCCTTTTTCCGCTCGAGGCACTCCGTCCAGTCTTTCCAGAAGGGTAGTTCCAAGCGTGATAGCGTGCGTCGCGAGTGCGGGCATGGCGACCAGCGGCGATCGCGGGGAGGGGTGGCTGGTGGGAGCCATCGATCAGGGCACGACGAGCACGCGGTTCTTCCTATACGACGAGCATTTGCGCGTCGTCGCGTCGCATCAGATGGAATTCGAGCAGATTCAGCCTCAAGCCGGGTAGGCTTGCTGTACTAATTCGTTCAACGAGAAAAAACTCGTTTGTAGCTGAGGCGATAGCGTGCGTGTATTAGTGCTCTGAAAAGAAGCCATTCGAGAGGGGACAATGAGCAGTCTGGCCTGGCAAGGCTGTAGTGCAACAGCGCGAAAACCTCGTCCCTCTGATCGTTTGTCACAACTCTTCCAACCCAATCGTATCCCTTCATGGAGCAGGTTCATGCTGCATGGCCCTGTTATGACCCTGTTCGTAGCTCCGTGAGCGCATGGGGAGGGATAGCAGAGCAAGAAAGAGCCAAGGCCTCAAGCCACTAGCCTGCTTTCCTCAATCTCCTCACGTTTCCAGTTGGATGAGAGAAGACAACACATCAGCTCCTTGCCCTTACCCTCTTCCATCCTCCTCGAACTTAATCGTGTCATTCTCCCAGCTGGGTGGAGCACGACCCCATGGTCATCCTCTCCACAGCCCGCCAGTGCATGGAGGGAGCCATGGCGACAGCGAGCCACACACATGAACGCAAACATGACCCGACCTCCCTGTTTCGCTTCCCTTCCCTCCGCCTTTTCTCCCATACTGCTTGCCCCTCCACTCCAGGTGGGTGGAGCATGACCCCATGGTCATCCTCTCTACAGTCCGCCAGTGCATGGAGGGAGCGATTGCAGCAGCGCGGAGCAAGGGGGTGCACGTGGGGCCTGACACGGTCAGGGCGGTGGGGCTGACCAATCAGAGGGAGACAACTGTCGTGTGGCGCAGGAGCACGGGCGAGCCTCTGTATAATGCCATAGTGTGGATGGATGTGCGCACGAGCGCTGTGTGCCAGTGAGTTAAGATTGGTTGTGGTGGTGTGACAACAGGAGCACGGGCGAGCCTCTGTACAATGCAATTGTGTGGATGGACGTGTGCACGAGTGCGCTGTGCCAGTGAGTTATTGGTGGTGCTTGTTGTGGCTTCACAAGTCATGGAAAAGCACAGGGAAGCCTCTGTACAATGCCATAGTTTGGATGGATGTGTGCACGAGCGCTGTGTGCCAGTGAGTTATTGGTGGTACCTGTGGTGATTAACACATTGTGGAGAAAAGGAGCACGGGCGAGCCTCTCTATAATGCCATTGTGTGGATGGATGGACGTGCGCACGAGCGCCCTGTGCCAGTGAGTTGGGGTTGGGTTGGGACTGCTTGTGGTGGTGTAATAACATGGGAAGGAGCTCTGGGGGAGCCTCTATACTACGCCATTGTTTGGATGGACGTGCGCACGAGCGCCCTGTGCCAGTGAGTCGGTCAAGGCTGATGGTTGTGACTTGGCGTGTTGACATTAAGGAGAATCCTATCTGTCTGTGAGGAATGGTGAGCCTTCTCACGTTTTCTGGTTTTGGAACATCTAAAATGTTTTAGCATAGTGGCCCATTCTCATCACGTTTTCATGTGTCCTCCGTTTTTTCGTTCCTCCTGCCTGCACCCAGGCGATTGGAGCAGCAGCTTTCAGGCGGACGGGATGAATGGAGGGGCGTGACGGGGCTGCCCCTCAGCACCTACTTCAGCGCCCTCAAGCTGACGTGGCTGCTGGAGGAGGTGCCAGCTGTCAGGCAGGCAGTGGAGGAAGGCGATGCGCTGTTTGGCACCATTGACACGTGGCTCATCTGGAACCTGACAGGTGGCGCCCTCAGAATGTGATAGCTCATCCCACTATGCACCTCCCACCCTTCTCTCCCACAAAACAGTCCTCTGTCATTGTCATTCACTTGCCTTTAATTGTACTTACCCTGTCCTCTGGTTTCTGAATTTTCTCATTGCTGACTCAACATCCCCACCCGTTTTACCCCATCCAACCCTACAGACAAACCTGCCTGTCTGCAATGTGACTCACATCCCACCCCAATATTCCCCACCTATCCCTCCACACACCCGCACAGGCGGTGCGTGCCACGTGACGGACAGCAGCAACGCCTCTCGCACGCTGCTCATGGACCTCAGGGCGCTGCAGTGGGTGGGGTGGGGCTGACAGGAAGTCGCGTCACGTTCCCCACACTCCAGTATTTACATCCTTCCACTCCACACCCCTACAGGTGGAGCCCGCCACGTGACGGACAGCAGCAACGCCTCGCGCACGCTGCTCATGGACCTCAGAGCGCTGCAGTGGAGCCAACCCATTCTCATTGCTGGCATCTCATATCCCCTCGCACCCTCTTACAGGTGGAGCCCGCCACGTGACGGACAGCAGCAACGCCTCGCGCACGCTCCTCATGGACCTCAGGGCGCTGCAGTGGAGCCAACCCATTCTCGACGCTCTCAACATTCCCAGAAGCATCCTCCCCAGCATCATTTCCAGCGCTGGTGAGCTGCTGGGTGGGGTGCTGATGGGTGAGGGAGTGAGAGCGAAGCGGAGGCAGCATGGGGGGAGATTGCGCGTGTGTTCTATTTCTCCCTTCCCCCCCTTTCCATAGCCCACGAGCATCCTCCCCAGCACCATTTCGAGCGCTGTTGAGCTTTGATGGGCTGCTGACGGGTGAGGGAGTGAGAGCAAAGGGATTGTGCGTATCTTGTTTTTCTCCCTTCCCCCCTTCCATAGCCCACAAGCATCCTCCCTCCCAAGTATCATTTCCAGTGCTGGTGACTGAGCTGCTGGTTGGGCTGCTGATGGGTGAGGGAGTGAGAGCGAAGCGGGGGTGACAGGGGGGGAATTGTGCATGTGTTAATTTCCCACTTCCCCTGCTTCCATAGCTCAGAAGCATCCTCCCCAGTATCATTTCCGGTCCTGGTGAGCTGCTGGGTGGGCTGCTATTGGGTGAGGGGCTGAGAGCGAAGCAGAGGTGTGCGTGTGTCTGTCTCTTCCTTTCCTTTCTTTTATAGCCCAGAAGCCCCTTCATATGTGTCATGGACTCATTCATAGCTCATCTACTCCTCTTCCCTCCCAACCGTAGGCCCGCCCTGGCAACAGTGTACCTGGCACCTTGGCAGCCTAAACCCTCTCTACTCTATGCTCCTCTTCCCCTCCGTCCATCTGTCTGTCCGTTTCCTTCCCCCTCACCCATCCTCGTGGTCACTGGCGGGGTTGCCTCTGTGGGGCTGTCCGGCCGACCAGCTGCGGCAGTGGTCCAGACCACAATTCATCTGTACCCTGTCTTCCCGCCACCGTCCTCCCAACTCAGAGCCCCTGTAGCCTCGTCATGGCCGCTAGCAGGGGTGTCGCTGTCTGGCTGAGTGGGCGACCAGCATGCAACAGCACCCCCTCTTCCGTCCCTCTGTTCCCTCTCTCACTCTCACCCCATTCTGCCACCACAGAGCACATCGCTCCTGTAACCTGCCACTGGCAGGGGTGCCGCTGTCGGGCTGTCTGGGCGACCAACATGCTGCCATGCTGCCATGCTGCCATGCTGCCATGCTGCCATGCTGCCATGCTGCCATGCTGCCATGCTGCCATGCTGCCATGCTGCCATGCTGCCATGCTGCCATGCTGCCATGCTGCCATGCTGCCATGCTGCCATGCTGCCATGCTGCCATGCTGCCATGCTGCCATGCTGCCATGCTGCCATGCTGCCATGCTGCCATGCTGCCATGCTGCCATGCTGCCATGCTGCCATGCTGCCATGCTGCCATGCTGCCATGCTGCCATGCTGCCATGCTGCCATGCTGCCATGCTGCCATGCTGCCATGCTGCCATGCTGCCATGCTGCCATGCTGCCATGCTGCCATGCTGCCATGCTGCCATGCTGCCATGCTGCCATGCTGCCATGCTGCCATGCTGCCATGCTGCCATGCTGCCATGCTGCCATGCTGCCATGCTGCCATGCTGCCATGCTGCCATGCTGCCATGCTGCCATGCTGCCATGCTGCCATGCTGCCATGCCGCCATGCCGCCATGCCGCCATGCCGCCATGCCGCCATGCCGCCATGCTGCCATGCTGCCATGCTGCCATGCTGCCATGCTGCCATGCTGCCATGCTGCCATGCTGCCATGCTGCCATGCTGCCATGCTGCCATGCTGCCATGCTGCCATGCTGCCATGCTGCCATGCTGCCATGCTGCCATGCTGCCATGCTGCCATGCTGCCATGCTGCCATGCTGCCATGCTGCCATGCTGCCATGCTGCCATGCTGCCATGCTGCCATGCTGCCATGCTGCCATGCTGCCATGCTGCCATGCTGCCATGCTGCCATGCTGCCATGCTGCCATGCTGCCATGCTGCCATGCTGCCATGCTGCCATGCTGCCATGCTGCCATGCTGCCATGCTGCCATGCTGCCATGCTGCCATGCTGCCATGCTGCCATGCTGCCATGCTGCCATGCTGCCATGCTGCCATGCTGCCATGCTGCCATGCTGCCATGCTGCCATGCTGCCATGCTGCCATGCTGCCATGCTGCCATGCTGCCATGCTGCCATGCTGCCATGCTGCCATGCTGCCATGCTGCCATGCTGCCATGCTGCCATGCTGCCATGCTGCCATGCTGCCATGCTGCCATGCTGCCATGCTGCCATGCTGCCATGCTGCCATGCTGCCATGCTGCCATGCTGCCATGCTGCCATGCTGCCATGCTGCCATGCTGCCATGCTGCCATGCTGCCATGCTGCCATGCTGCCATGCTGCCATGCTGCCATGCTGCCATGCTGCCATGCTGCCATGCTGCCATGCTGCCATGCTGCCATGCTGCCATGCTGCCATGCTGCCATGCTGCCATGCTGCCATGCTGCCATGCTGCCATGCTGCCATGCTGCCATGCTGCCATGCTGCCATGCTGCCATGCTGCCATGCTGCCATGCTGCCATGCTGCCATGCTGCCATGCTGCCATGCTGCCATGCTGCCATGCTGCCATGCTGCCATGCTGCCATGCTGCCATGCTGCCATGCTGCCATGCTGCCATGCTGCCATGCTGCCATGCTGCCATGCTGCCATGCTGCCATGCTGCCATGCTGCCATGCTGCCATGCTGCCATGCTGCCATGCTGCCATGCTGCCATGCTGCCATGCTGCCATGCTGCCATGCTGCCATGCTGCCATGCTGCCATGCTGCCATGCTGCCATGCTGCCATGCTGCCATGCTGCCATGCTGCATGCTGCCATGCTGCCATGCTGCAATGCTGCCATGCTGCCATGCTGCCATGCTGCCATGCTGCCATGCTGCCATGCTGCCATGCTGCCATGCTGCCATGCTGCCATGCTGCCATGCTGCCATGCTGCCATGCTGCCATGCTGCCATGCTGCCATGCTGCCATGCTGCCATGCTGCCATGCTGCCATGCTGCCATGCTGACATGCTGCCCTGCTGCCATGCTGCATGCTGCCATGCTGCCATGCTGCCATGCTGCCATGCTGCCATGCTGCCATGCTGCCATGCTGCCATGCTGCCATGCTGCCATGCTGCCATGCTGCCATGCTGCCATGCTGCCATGCTGCCATGCTGCCATGCTGCCATGCTGCCATGCTGCCATGCTGCCTGCCATGCTGCCATGCTGCCATGCTGCCATGCTGCCATGCTGCCATGCTGCCATGCTGCCATGCTGCCATGCTGCCATGCTGCCATGCTGCCATGCTGCCATGCTGCCATGCTGCCATGCTGCCATGCTGCCATGCTGCCATGCTGCCATGCTGCCATGCTGCCATGCTGCCATGCTGCCATGCTGCCATGCTGCCATGCTGCCATGCTGCCATGCTGCCATGCTGCCATGCTGCCATGCTGCCATGCTGCCATGCTGCCATGCTGCCATGCTGCCATGCTGCCATGCTGCCATGCTGCCATGCTGCCATGCTGCCATGCTGCCATGCTGCCATGCTGCCATGCTGCCATGCTGCCATGCTGCCATGCTGCCATGCTGCCATGCTGCCATGCTGCCATGCTGCCATGCTGCCATGCTGCCATGCTGCCATGCTGCCATGCTGCCATGCTGCCATGCTGCCATGCTGCCATGCTGCCATGCTGCCATGCTGCCATGCTGCCATGCTGCCATGCTGCCATGCTGCCATGCTGCCATGCTGCCATGCTGCCATGCTGCCATGCTGCCATGCTGCCATGCTGCCATGCTGCCATGCTGCCATGCTGCCATGCTGCCATGCTGCCATGCTGCCATGCTGCCATGCTGCCATGCTGCCATGCTGCCATGCTGCCATGCTGCCATGCTGCCATGCTGCCATGCTGCCATGCTGCCATGCTGCCATGCTGCCATGCTGCCATGCTGCCATGCTGCCATGCTGCCATGCTGCCATGCTGCCATGCTGCCATGCTGCCATGCTGCCATGCTGCCATGCTGCCATGCTGCCATGCTGCCATGCTGCCATGCTGCCATGCTGCCATGCTGCCATGCTGCCATGCTGCCATGCTGCCATGCTGCCATGCTGCCATGCTGCCATGCTGCCATGCTGCCATGCTGCCATGCTGCCATGCTGCCATGCTGCCATGCTGCCATGCTGCCATGCTGCCATGCTGCCATGCTGCCATGCTGCCATGCTGCCATGCTGCCATGCTGCCATGCTGCCATGCTGCCATGCTGCCATGCTGCCATGCTGCCATGCTGCCATGCTGCCATGCTGCCATGCTGCCATGCTGCCATGCTGCCATGCTGCCATGCTGCCATGCTGCCATGCTGCCATGCTGCCATGCTGCCATGCTGCCATGCTGCCATGCTGCCATGCTGCCATGCTGCCATGCTGCCATGCTGCCATGCTGCCATGCTGCCATGCTGCCATGCTGCCATGCTGCCATGCTGCCATGCTGCCATGCTGCCATGCTGCCATGCTGCCATGCTGCCATGCTGCCATGCTGCCATGCTGCCATGCTGCCATGCTGCCATGCTGCCATGCTGCCATGCTGCCATGCTGCCATGCTGCCATGCTGCCATGCTGCCATGCTGCCATGCTGCCATGCTGCCATGCTGCCATGCTGCCATGCTGCCATGCTGCCATGCTGCCATGCTGCCATGCTGCCATGCTGCCATGCTGCCATGCTGCCATGCTGCCATGCTGCCATGCTGCCATGCTGCCATGCTGCCATGCTGCCATGCTGCCATGCTGCCATGCTGCCATGCTGCCATGCTGCCATGCTGCCATGCTGCCATGCTGCCATGCTGCCATGCTGCCATGCTGCCATGCTGCCATGCTGCCATGCTGCCATGCTGCCATGCTGCCATGCTGCCATGCTGCCATGCTGCCATGCTGCCATGCTGCCATGCTGCCATGCTGCCATGCTGCCATGCTGCCATGCTGCCATGCTGCCATGCTGCCATGCTGCCATGCTGCCATGCTGCCATGCTGCCATGCTGCCATGCTGCCATGCTGCCATGCTGCCATGCTGCCATGCTGCCATGCTGCCATGCTGCCATGCTGCCATGCTGCCATGCTGCCA